AATAAGGAATTGAAAACTGCAACGCAAAACTTACAACCAGCACAAATACTAATGAAAAAAGGTTTTATCGAAAATTTATTATCATCATATTAGTTGAAGTATGATCAAATAGCATAGAAAGTTAGAGCATTCTTTTCTCTATCAGACTATGTAGAAAGAAAGTTACTAAAAACTTATCATAAGAAATTAAAGCATCACTCTACGAACTTTTGGTATGCCCTAAGTATATGCGGAAGGAGATTGTGCCCGATGGAAGAGAGCTTGATGTGCGTTGATATTCCACAGATCTGTTGGATTTGCTTTTGAACTCATGCATGCCAGGAATCCCTTTAATTGTACCTATTCGGAGGAAAACAATTTGCACAGTAAAAATTATGTTTTGCCAAGTCTGTGGTTTTGAGAATGTTATTTCTTGCATGTATTATATCCATATTAACTTGATTTACTTTATTCTCTTCAAAAGAAAAAATACATGAACAGATGGTTCATTTTTACCAGATGCTTTAGCTGTTTCTATCTGATGTTTCTTCGAAAATTCATAAAACTCTCGTGCAGATGATAGAGGAATATTTTTCGAGAGAGTGTGACGTCGAGCAGTTGACTTAAGCAAACCTCCTACTCCATCTCTAGGTCCTTTGCCGTGACCATTTGCTGTATATGTCCCACACCATCCATTCCTAAGTTTTCTTTGTGAAAAGCCAGGTTTAGTATGTTCAAGTTGTTCTTGAAACAACCTGCTGCACCATTCATTACTAGAGCGGAATCTAGATTTAATAAATGATAATTTCATAAAGATGAGATTTCATCTCTGAAAATATCCCTTATTACAGGTAGTATTTTGTTTGTTTTGCAACTTGTTGGAGAATACTTTTGTTGAGTTCTCTTTCATGAGTTACTTTTTTTAGTTGAAGTAAGAGTAAATACTAACCTCAAATAATTTATTGCCGTTACTTGAGAAAACATTTTTTTGACAAACTTGACGATTATTTCTTGAGAACAATAAACGAAAGCGGTATCATATTCTAAACGATCGCTAATAATGGCGAGATTTCGTTGTTCTTCACCGATGATAAGGTGGACAGTAAAAAGACTGGCTTGCTGATGAGAGAAAAATCCTTGTTGTACCTCACGTTGTCGTACCAACGTGTAATTCACAGAGAAATCAATTTGCGCTATGATGAATGACTTGCTGCTGGACTGTGAACGCAAAAGAGCAATGTGCTCTCGCTGCTGATGATTGCAGTACGAATGAAGAAGAAACGGAGTCCATTGTTCATTCATTTCGGTGAGAAGAGAATCAATAGAGGCATTGACTTTCTGTAAATCGAACTTGTTATTCACCTTTTTCCACACCATCCAAGAGCAACAATCATCGAAATCAATATCGTCCTTGAAATCTTCGATAAGAGCTTGTATAAGATTTTTGTCCATTGAGCAAGAATCGCATTCGTTTGTGAAGCATTCTTCAGTTGGTATATCACACATGAGCCGAGTAATAAGATCATTTGCAGCGTATTTGTGCGGCACCTTATTAGTAGTAAGTTTGCACTTCCGTTCAAGATAACTATTCCATGCCTACAATACATTTAATCAAATCGTTTTGTAGAAAAAAAAGTAGATATAAGAATGTTGCAATACTTTCTAATGAAAGTTGTAACCACAGAAAACACGTCGGTATATACTGCAGAAAAGACATACATACCTTCAAAGCAAGATTCATATTTTCATGATACAAACACATACAAGTGTCATGTGGCGAAGAAATCTTGACATCTCGGGGTCGAAGAGAATAGAATGCTGGCTGACTGACAGTGTTCGGAAATCGTTCTTGAAAGATGCGAAAAGCTTCAAGTGTCGTCATCTCCATGAAGCGTAAAGTTACTGGATTCTTATTAATTTGAATGATATCCTTGGATTTTGAAGAGATTCGACTTATACCATCTTCTCTGTAGAATTTAACAACAGTGTCGGTTATGTTGTTCGACAAAGGTTTGTTGCCTGTCGAATATTCAGGATAAACAAGAGTACGATTTTGGTCGCGAAGTATGACGGCTTGACGAGCTTGGTTTTCGGTCGACTGAAACCTAAAAAAGAGAGCCACTTAGTATTATTTTATTGATATCTACAAACGCTCACCAATTTTGAATCTTTCCTCAACCCCACTGCTTTGGTGAAATAGTCATTATTCGAATTTGCTCGGATTCATCACTATCCTTGTATAGATTTTTCAAACCTGTTAGCAGCTCATTACATTCGGTCAAAAGAACATCGTGAGGATTCGGATCATTACACTCCTCTTCTTTCCCTTCAAGCACATCACATAAATCATGAAGATTTCTGTATAGTTCGTTGATTTGTCGGCGAACTGGAGCCACCTTTGATCTAATCAAGTATAACATATAGATCTGCAATCGAAAATAGACCAACTTACTGATCGTGTACAGGAGGTAAATCAAGTGCTTCAAAAATTCTCGTCAATTTCTCCTTTGCTTTTTCTTGCTTGTAATTGAGTTCGTATAAACCGTCACCTGAGCTGGAACTTTTTCGAGAACTAGAGCTAGTTAAACAACTGGATTGAGATGAAACGTTTTCTTCACTATTTTCATCATCGGTGTTATGTTGATCACTTTCAATGTGTTTGATTTCTTCCAAATGATCCAATTGAGTTTCCATTTGATGAGTTTTTCTCAACTCTTTTGTCTCGAATGTGAAACACCTCGGACACAACCAGCGCACATTCGAGTTCAATATCTCATCACGATCACGCATGAACTTCAATAATTCAGATGAAACTGGGTGACGTCCCTTCGGTAAATTCACGGCATCCACATGACGAAGGTGATGTTGACAAGGTTTCGCCTGCGGCATGAGATCTGAAACGAATAACAAATGTTATTAGAAAGATTGAAAAACGTTAAATGCTTTTTTCATCTCCGTTTTTATTCTCACACATGCATCTAACAAAAACGAGAGTGTAAAAAAAAACAACACACACAAGAAACGAACCATTAATATAAAGCATCAAGGAATGTATTTCATCTCCTCTCTCAATACATTCCTCCTTTATCGAGAGGAATGCTTTGAAGGAGGAGAAAGAAACAGCAAGAAAAGAAGAATGAAAAACTATCTAAAAACACGAGGAGGAAGGAGCCATCAAGTCTCAATGGACGATTTCAGTTATACATCATGGTCAAGAACCATGGCAAAAAGCCACTGCCACAAAAAGAAGATTTTTAGTTAACGTTTCTATTTGTTCGAGTAATATCTACTGAAAATTTTGCTTAGTTAGCGAAGATTTCTCTGTAAAACACGCGCATTGTTCCATGTGAAAATGTTGTAGTTTTGTATAAAGTATTCTATTTCTATAAGTCTCACTATGATCATATGAAAAACTGATTCTGTGAATCACCTTACCGTTCACATAATGAATGGTCTTGAGCGGATTTCATCTAAAATACAAACAAAAGAGATGAGCTATGCACAGTTAGAACAGAACAATTTTCACTTATTTTTGTTTCAGTTCATTTATCATGAAAAATAAAAAATGAAAAATGAAAAACATTTCCACAAATATTCAACGAAAAATCAATCATGAATTCTATTGTTGAGGAATCCAATATATTTCATTTGAGTTGATAGATTTCAAAATTACTCAATTCTTGGCTCTTTCGAAGTATAAAAACTCGATAAATGATCCAAATTAGTTTACAAACGATCAAGAACATATATGATGAGACAAAATCTGACTACAATATATTACTCATCCCTGAGGTAAGTAAAGTCAGCAGCGAATTCGAGTATTTCTTGTTGACATTCGCTTTTAGAACTCTGTAAGCTTTCTAATTGATTCTGTTTGACGTAGAATGGAATTCTGCCTCCAAGAAAACCAATTAGATGGTGAACACAGGACAAGGAGTAAATTTTTCCTAGATATACTGGTAGAATAGGGCCAAAAATACAGTATTTTGACTCAAACTACCATATTTTCCCGAGGCGATCCACTTGAAACTCGCATCATTCGATACAGAATTAAATTCTGCATCCAACACAGATCGATCGAGCAAATGTCAGGAAGAAATATCCGAATCCGCTGCTCACATTATCTGATTTCATACATGTACCTCGTTTTCGTGATGAGCGCTGGAAATTTGTGGGACGAGTTCGTAACTTTTTTTTTGCTATATACTTTTCATACTTTCTTCCGATAAAATGGAGGATCAAAATCAAAATCGGAGATCACTTCCACAAAGTGGTATAAACCCCACGGAATCACCCATAAATAAAAAAATTTCGACGTTTGACATATGTTCGATTATATTTTCGAAAAACTTTAAATAAAATGTTTTCGTTTGAAATCGATGAAGACAAGAGTGAATGTGGAAAACTTTTAATTGGTTTTGTGTATTCAAATGAAATATCCAATTTCATGTTAAAAATAAAACATGCTTGCTATTTATTACTATTGGATATTTATCGGATATATCAGATCTTTATTGTAAATTACGTTTATTTTCATAAAATGATTTAATTAACAAATCAAATTTTAGAACAGAAATAAAAAAAATATTAAATCAAGAATTTATTTATAAAAATAAAAATATCAAATTAGAAGAATTAATTATTAAAACATTAGAAATAACTGTTTATGATAAAGATTTTGGAAAAAACGATGATTATATTGGTACGATATTTTAAACTAACATCATTTTAATAGTTAACTATTATAAATAATATTTATCTATAATGATTATTTTAAATCAATTTTTCATTTAGTTTTATTTAAATAAGGAATGACAAGAACGATAATCATATCATTATTTAACCTCGAGTCTTTCTCTCTCTCTCTCTCTCTCTCTCTATATATATATATATATATATATATATATATAGAATATTCAGCTAAATATATGATCAACTTCTTTTTCTAATATCGACTATAAATAAATATGTATATATTGAAGATAATATATATATCGATATAGAATTTAAATAATTTTAAATATGTAAATATATTATATTTAACAAATAAGAATAAATCAAATATATTTTTTTCTATTTTTCGTTGATTATCAATATATTGTTGTTTCAATATCTGACAACTATTATATAATATAAATCTCTAATTGAAGTATAGTCTTAGAAAGAAATTGATCATTTTTATTTGTTTTTTAATATATGATTAATATGTTTTATCATATTATTTGTGATAGAATTCAAAATGGATTAATAATAACAATGAAACAATGATTATATTCATTAGAATAATTATTTTCTTTTCTTCAATTATATAGAATTATTTTTAATTTATTAAATAAATAATAAAAATATGTTAATAATTCAATTAATTTTTTTTTTCGATAGTTTCATTAAATAATTTAAATAATTTAAATAATTTAAATAATTATATTAATTTGAAAAACAAAAAGTCGAGAGATTATTGAATAAATTATTTAATTTTTTGTCATGTCAATAGTGATAAAAGCACATTTTTCAAAAGATTATAATTGAACTTAATTAATCTATTTTAAATAAATTATTTATTTATATATATAATATATAATAGGTGAATTTCTAAAAGGTCAATAAGAAAGTGGAGATTATTTATAAAACATTGATGTCGTAATGATAAAATCGTCAAATAAATCAATTGATATGTAGAACAAATAAAAAAGTGAAGATTTTTATTGATTATTAATTAAGAAAGATTTTTGAAACATATTAATATCATCAATTATATTATTGTTAAATGTTCTATATAATTAGAGAAAAAATCTTAATCGCCTTTCAAATAACAATTTATATGTTTGTTGAAAAATAATTGTCATACGAATAATATATTTCAATAAATGCTCTTAACTCTCTTCCTTTTTTCTTTTTATTAATATTCAGTTTTTTTCATAGTTTTTAATAATCATTCTAGATGATAGATTATATTATTTTATAAAAGCAAAAATCTTTCGTAAAATCATTTAATAAATAAGTTTTTTTTACTCTATTATTAATCTTTTTGTTAACGTTTAGTTATCAAAATAATATTTATTCTTTTTTTCTTCTATAGAATATAAAATGAGTATAAATAAAATAAATAAAAAAACTTTGAAATATATGTTAACGACATCTTTTCTATAAAATAGAAAGAAAACGACATTTATAAGAATAATTGAAAGGTTGTTGCATAGAAACTAAAAAAAGATAAAAAAGAAAAAATGTTAATAGAATAGTATATTGTATATTGTATATTAAATAAAGTAAATGGATCAAGTTCAAGTATTATCAGCTGTTTGTAAAAAATTGAATAATGATATTGAATCATTAGCTAATCAAACATCAATTCGTGAATCTGCAATAGCTAAATTAGATTCTAATCAACAATCATATGATGAACAATTACGTCAATTAAATATTGATATTCAATTAAAATTATCTAAAAGTGATTCAATTTTACAAAAATTACAATCAGATGTTGAACAAATTTCACATGGACTTCGAGATATAAATCAGAGTCAACAAGATACAAATAGATCAAATATTCAACGTTATCAAGAATTAAAACTTGAAGTAAATTAAAAAGAAAAAAGAAAAAAGAAAAAAGAAAAAAGAAAAAAGAAAAAAGAAAAAAGAAAAAAGAAAAAAAGTTAAAATAAATCGTTATTTTTTATTTAAATATAGATAACAACATTAAGTCAACGTCTTGATAGAATATTTAATGAACAACAAATTGTTTTACGTACATTTGAAACTGATACAGCACGTGCTCTATCAACAGCTGATTCACGTTCACGAGCTTTTGTTGATGAACTTCGAAATCAAATATTTCAAAGTAAAACTCAAGAAGATACGGAACGAGAAAGACAAGAACAAAAAATAAATCAAAAACTTGATGATATTAAACGATCATTAGATAAATATGTATTTATTAAGATTTTAAACGAAGATTTTTAGTTTTTTTTATTAAAATTATTTATTTTAGGAACGATTGGATAAAAGAATTGATGATGCAATACATCAATTTGAAAGAAAAACAGCATCATTAGAAGATCATTATAGACGAGCTATATCAGATTTAACTAGAAATAATGAAGTTATTTTATTTTAACTTTTTTTTAATTATTTTAACATTTTTTCCTTTTTTTTTTTTTTTTTGTTTTAGTCTGTTGAACAAACTGTTTATAAACGATTTGATGATAAATATCAAAAAACAATGGCTAATTTAGAAAAAGTTAAAAAAGAAATGCGAACTTGTTTTGAATCACTTGAAGGTTCTGTTAAAACATTACAACGTATTACTGATGGAAGAATTAAAGTAACTGAAGATAAATTAGATAAAGAAATAGAAAAACTTCGAAGTATGATTGTTCTTATTTAATATTATTATATTCACATTTATTTATCTTAAATAATATAATTAATATTATAAATAATTATGTTTTAATAATATATATTTCAATTAAGAAGTCTATTTAAATAATATTTATCTTTTATTTTACTTATTTCAATTTATTTTAAATAATGAAACAAAATCTTCAAATAATATATATATGAGTGAATTTCAACTTTATTGTACCATTTTGACAAAAAAAAACGGGAGAAAAAAAAGTTTAGATTCGAAAGCTGATAAGTCGGGTTTTTAACTGTATCATATGAGAGGAGAAATAGAATAAATTTTCCCGACTACTACTATAACTATAGCCATGATATAAGAGAATCATTCAAAACCCATGAAAAATTCTTCAATACGACTCTATTGCTGTTATGTCGAAAAATTACTATAATACGAGAGTTTTCCTGAACGCGTTGAAAATACTTCACTTTATATATAGAAACAACTTTGTTTATATCAATCGAAATATGGTTGAGAGTTATGTCGCGATAAAGTTCGATCACATAACTCTAATAGTGTTGTTTCTTATACATAATCATTGATCTTTTTCTGTAAATCGTGAAAAACAAATTAGAGAGTGCTCGCACCAGTTTTGATAGTCATCTAAACACAAAATCAAGTAATATGTAACGTATGTACTTTAGTCTTAGTTGTGAGAGAGTTATATGCATAAAAATCTTACTGGACAGTTTCTCAAAACAATCTCGTGTGACATATTAACATTATTTTTTTCTCTTTTATAAGAAGGATAAGTTTTCTGACCTCAATATTTTCAAGAATATTTCACCACAACTAGTAGATAAAATGATAAAAATTTCACCCCAATCTGCCTTAATTTAAGAGAGTTATACAGCAAACAAAGTATCTACGTCTCGTGTGACATTTAGTGTGACCAATGAATTTTCAATCTTTATTTTATATCGTTTTGTTAATAAGAAATAGGACAACTTTCTAGTTCTCTTTGTCAGTTTTATTTTCCACTAATTTACTTTTGTTCAACACGAACCCGACTAATTTCTAATGTGTTGTTGCATGGTAAGGTCGTTTTTAAATCTCGTGTGACACAAAACTAAGGATTGAGGGTACACCTCATATTCAAGAAAAAGTCTAATCAGAACCATGATGGAAGAGCCAATCGGTCTCATATCTGAAACGTGTACACTACCTACTATAAATATTGGAAACTTTCAAATCCAAATCCTAAGAGAATCAATCGGTCATGTGACGTTTTTCTACATCACATGTCAGTGAAAATCGAACTTTTGAACCTTGAGCATTCAATATCTCAGACTCCGTGCGAGATAAATTTGTGATTTTTTTGTGTGATAGTGAGCACTAACTAGAGACGTCTAACCTGAAAAATTCATAAAGATAACTTGAGAGGAACTGAAGTTATTAAACTCTTACATCTAGGGAATACAACAGTACAATAATTTTGCAATTTACTCATATATATATATATATGATTAATTCATTTTCTTAATTTAGTTTTCTTTTCGTTAATTGTTTGTTTTTGTAAATAAGTTTTTTCTTTTTTTCAATTTTTTCTTAATTATCAATATTAAATTCTCGAACAATAATTATCTTATTTCGCGTAACTATCTTTATTTATATGTTTTCATAATGTTTCTGCTTAATGTGTTTTATTTTCATTTATATGTCTTTATATTGTCTGTAGAAAATCAAGATTTCTATCATTATTTTGTCTTTAATCATGGATTTAGATCGTATTTTTAAGGTCGTTAAGTTTAATTGAGAGAGAAAGAATTTATTATAAATTGAATCATTAAAAAAATAATTGACCTTGTTCACATTTATAAACAAAAAGATAATTATTATTTAATATGTTATTTTAGTTTTCTGCTATTTTTCATTAAAAGAAAAAACAAACAAATTCAGTACAACTAATTAATTGAAAAAAAAAAGAAAAAAAAACAAACTAATTACAGTTGTTGAGAACACTAATAATAAAAAATAGTTTCCTGACACTAAAAAGAGAAGAAAAAGGAAGAAAGATTATATAAAATGATTATTAAAAAAGAAAAAAAAAATTCAAATAAAGTTTTTATAAACCAGCTTCGTAGAATTGTTTAAATTCTTGAGGATCAACAATACCATCCTTGTTTTTATCAATTATGTTGAAAGCAGCAGCAGCTACATCAAACGGAACATGACCAACAGTTCCTCCTGATGATTCATATAATGATGATGATGATGATGTATATCCACCAGTTAAACCACCACTAAGACCAACATCTACACCTCCTCTTCCTCCTCCTCCTCCTCCTCCTCCTCCTCTACCCAATGAATATAATGAAGATTCGTATGTCGATGAACCATAGACATTACCAGCAGCTCCAGCTCCTTCAACTAGACCACTTTCGAAAGCTCCATTAATCAAACCTCATTTAAGATAAATAAATAAATAAATAAATAAATAAAACAAAAGACATCTTATTCAAATACCTGTTCCAACGATTTGTGAACTTTGAAAAGATCCAGGTGAGAATGATGATGAAGTTTCTCGAAATGCTCCACCAGAAACACCAATTAAATCAGCTCCAGTAAAACCATTATCACCTAATGATGATTCTTGATTAAATGATGATAAACTAATTGTAGCTGCAGAAGTACCAGCTGGTGGAGACTATAAAATATAATTATTTTTTAAATTAAATTCAATATATTTTTATATAAAATAATACTATATCTTCAACAACACCAGCAGCACGAGCTTGTTGAATAAGTGATTGACCATCAAGTAATTGTGATCCATAACGTTGAACATAAACTTGAGGATTTTCTTGAACAACATCCAAACGTTGAAATTGTCGAACAATCCGAACTTGAACTGGTTCATATTGAATTATAATATTACGTGGTTTAGGATATTCTTTAACTGATTGAGCACGTTGAACAATTGTCTTTCGTTTACCATCAACTCCATAAGGAATCCAACGTTCAATAATAATATCACCTATTATTATTAATAAAATAAATATTTAATAATGAATAATTAATATACTAACGTGGTCGAGGTGGATCTGATGGAATACGTTCGATAATAACTGATCGAGGTGGTACAGGTAAAGCAGGAAGATTTCGGATAATTGTTTGAGCAGATTGTGAAGCTGGTGGTTGTGGTGGACGTTCACGAAGAATAAGTGGAGGAGGTTGGGGAAGAGGCGGGGATTGTTGTTTTATTCGAAGAGGTGATGGAACAGGTGGTTGACCTGGTCGTACTTCTTTTATTATAAGTGGCTACAAATATTTAACTTTTATTTATATATATATAAACAAATATTATTTACTCCTGGTGGTGGAATAGGTGGTGGTTGAAGAAAGCGCAATTTTATGTTTTGTGTGTAAGTTTGAACACCCCCTATAGCTGGTCGATGTATTATTTGTGGATTGGTATCAAAATAGAGTCCAGCACCTTTTACTTCTGCACCATATTTTGACCAAGTAGAATTACTTTCATCTGTATAACTATCAGCTTGATTTATTCCTGTATCATCATAACCATTATTAGTTATTGGTGATTTAAATGATGATGATTGAAATGTTGGTCCACCAATAAGAGTACCACCAGCATCAATACCAGTAGATGATGTCAAACTTGATGATTCGAATGATGAATCACCAAATCCACCTTCAACAGAATAAGATCCACCACCACCTCCTAATGATGAAATATTTGATGATTCGTATGTAGCTGATTCAAAATTAGCACCTGCTCCACCAACACCAACACCAACACCAACACCAACACTAACACCACTACTATATTGTCCATCAGCACCAACATCAGCACCAATCCAATGTTGAAATTCGTGTCGATCAATAGTACCGTCTTGATTGAGATCGACTTGATTGAAAATAGCTTTAGTTGCATCGAAAGCAGCAGTAGTTGGAGCTGTCGATGATGAATACGACGAATATTCGTAGTTGTTCATATTTTGATAAATGTGTCTTGTTTATGAAAAGGAATAATTAGAAATGATGTTGCAACTAGATCAGTCTTTATATATAATATGAGTTTATGTTTAGTTCTTTCTCTTTTTTTTCACCTTCTCACCTGACATTGATCAAAGAAGTAATGGTAATGGTGATTAATGATGCGTATCTCCAATGACACATTCTTGTCTCTTTTTTTTTTTGTTACAATTTTTCTTTTTTTGTATTTTACCGCAATATTTTCAGTTATTCTGATGTCCTTAAATGTATTGATAGAAAAAGAATCTGTTAACATAGAAAATATCTTTTCGATGTTGTTATGAGAGTAACCGTTAAACGACATAATATAGATTTTTGTTTTAATTAAATAAATAAAAATAGTAGATGATAGTTTTATATTTGAAATGAATATAAAGTGACAAGTATCGGCAATTTATGATGGTTAATATCAGTAAAAAAAACAACTAATGTTGTAATATAGTTTTATCGAGTATATTATCAAGGTTAAAAGTAAAGAGTAAATTAAAAAAAAAGTAAATAAATTAATATTTATTGTTTAATGATAATATAAAATTGAGTTGATTATATTATTTATTTCTGATAGAAGGATTTAAAAATAATTTATTTTCGATATGTAATGAATATTCTATAATGATTGAATATTTATAAATCAAATTATTTATTTTCACAACACAAGATAAAAAAAAAAGAAAAAAGAAAAAAGAAAAAAAGAAAAAAGAAAAAAAAAATGTGGCAAAACTATGTAAAACGTGTTGATTGATTATTATGATAGAATAAAAGATCGTTTTCTTTAGATGTTTTTGTTAAATCTTGATCAAGTAAAAATTTTTCACAATTATTTATCGCTCGATTATTTGTTGAACTATAATAATTAATATAATTATTTGTTAAAAATTGATTTTGATGACGATTTGAAAAAAAAAATTGATGACGTTTATCATTAAGATTATTTTTCATAGAAATTGATGATAATTGACTATTCAATGGTATATTATTTATTGATGTTGTTGTATTTTGACGAGAATGTTGGTGAGATGAAGAATTTGGTGAACATTGTTTAAATGTTTGACGTTTTTTTTGTACTTTATTTAATAATGGAATATTTGTACGATTATCAGTTAATTCTCCATCAATTTTATTTTCATCAATACATGGAAAACATCTATAAAGTTTACGAAATTCTCTATTAAATCTTGCCTAAAATATAAAGAAAAAAAAATCTTTTTTTTTTTTTTTATCAAAGTTAAAATAACATTGAAAAATTGAAGCGAAACAAATGTTATAAAAAACAATTTCACACATATTTATGATAGACAATGTTGAAACAAAGTTTCAAGAACATTATTCAATATGTATATTTATTTTTATTTTTCTATTAATCTAAAGATTGCTTCTAGTCGTCAGTTATTTCTTATGCATAACAGTAAGAATAGCTTCGAGGAATATCTCGATCTTGATTTATTTAACTGCATATCTTAACATAATCTATATTCTTATATCGTCTCACAATTATAAACAGAAATGTTTTTCATCACCTCTAGATCAATATTGAATATGGAACTTTTCTTTTTTCACTAATAAATAAAGAAAAAACAAAAACATACACTACAAAAACCATAAATAAATGGATTATGACATGAATTTGACATAGCAAGCCAATTAGCACATAACCATAATACAACAATATGTTTAAAACTAAATATAAAAGAAATGATAAAAAAAAAAAAATTTTTTTATATATATATATATATATTCATACTCATTTATTTCAGGTTTGTATACATTAAGAAAATTATATAATTGTAATGGAAACCAACAAATAAGAAATAATATCACAACAACAAATAACATTTTTAATACCTATATTAATTAAAGATTTTTTTTTTTTTTTAATTTTATTTAATAATATATTAAATAAAAACTTATATAATTCTTATCTAACTGAAAAAAAACATCTGGTCAATTTTAATAAAAGAAGATTTATGTTTACAAATGTCTTATATTTAATCCAGTTCGATAGAATAAATAGAATAATATCTATAGAAGAAATATTTACTCAGCATAATCAAATCTACATCTGTTTTTTATTTCTTTTTATCTTTATTTTTATATTTACAATCTTATTTATATTATATATATATATATATATTCGATTAGAAATCTTACTTTACGTTTATTTCTTGCAATAACTTCTTGATATTTTGTTTGTCCAACGGGTTTAGAAAAATATAAATGTGATCCAATACGAAAATAAGCACAACTTATTATTATAAATGGTATTATATATTGAGAATATATATTATAAACAATATATATTTTATGTATATAATAAGATCTATTTATTGTTGATTTTGTTGAATTATAATGTTCTTGTTTTTCATATATATAAGGTAAACATTGATAACCAAAATCATCAATAAAATAAACATTATAAAAAAATAAACTTGGAATTGATGATCCTAATGCTATAAGCCATATAATAGTAAATATAATAAATGCAGTTTTAGTTGATAATTTAGGTTTTAATGGATGAAGCATAACATAATAACGATCAAGTGAAACAGCAACCAATGTATATATAGATACATCAACTGAAAGTATTTGAACAAATGGTGCTAGTTTACAAAGAAAATGTGGTAAAACCCATTTTTGTAAAGCTGCAGCTTGAAACTAGTTCAATTAATAATAAAAAAATTTCTATTATTATATTAAATAAAATAAATACTTACTTGAAATGGAACTGCAAAACAAGCAACAAGACAATCAGCAAGAGCTAAATTACATATAAAATAATTTGTTACTGAATGCATCCGTCTATTACATATAACAATATAAATAATCGATGAATTACCAATAAGAGCAAGAAAAGTTATTATTCCATATGCAAAACTTAATAGAATTATTTGATATTGTTCTGGTATTAATGTTTTTGTTAAATCAGCAGCACTCAATGTTACATTTGATTGTAATATTGATGTTGAACTAACAAATTTACTTCTATCTAATATATTATTGCTTTTATCTAATAAATAATCTGTCATTGAATCCATTAAGATTCATCATTATCTAACAACTAATATATATCATCGTTTTTATCGTTTAACAACTTTATATAAAAACATTGTATAGAAATCTAAAAAGAATAACTTTATACAAAATCGAAATAAAAAAGAAACAATTTTATATGTAATTTAGCTCTTGCTGATTGTCTTGTTGCTTGTTTTGCAGTTCCATTTCAAGTAAGTNAAACAATTTTATTTATTTTATTCATTAGAATAATTTCATTTAACTGACTATATATTAGTTAATTTGAATGTCTACAATATATTATCATACTAAAGTCAGTTATTAAGATGATTTAGAAGAAAAAAAAATACTCTTCTTTATTTTCTCTTCTCATCTTCTCTCATCTCGTCTCTTCATGTGTATTCATTGCATTCATCAACTGGAATAAGTCACACGTTTTCATGCGAACATCATCATCAAGAATATTAGCAGAGAGAGAAAGAGAGAAAGAGGGGGAAAAAACAGAAAGAACAAGAATAAAATAATAATAATAATAATAATAATAATAATAATGATGAAAATTCTCTCCATATATAATATTGACAAAGTTAACTTGTTTTCATATGGCTATAAGTAAATGATGTATAACGAAAGAAATAAGCAAGAGGTCTGTACGGTAAACATGAATTTTCCTTTTTTAAACTTCTAACATATTATCTTTGATCTGTTAATGTTTTTCTTCTTGTCTCTCAATATATACGGTTCGAACGAGAGTCAAAAACAACAAGAGATATCATCGTCACGAATGTTAATAGTTAACCGTTATAGGCTAATAGGTTTTCTCTTAACTTGTTATTGATGCGTTTAAAATATCTAAAGTATCATTTAAAAAACGACAGTAGCAGCTGTTGGTTGGCATTAAAAAAAAACAAGATATGTTCTATATTGAAAATCGTACTATTGCATATGATTTGTCTGTTATAGAAGAGAAACATACGAAGAAAATAAGTCTTAAGGGGAAGATTTTTGATTGAAGAAAAAGAAACGTCGATCTTATCCAAAAAAAAGACATATGGATATCTGTAAATATTACTCTCACTTGTTATCGGGCTGTCATTTATTGTGTAATAGGATAGCTCGTCATCTTGTTAGAGATTATGATTGACACCAAATGGAGTTAACGAGAGAATGTTCGACTAAAATATACATACATTTGAATAACGACAGAAAACAACGATATAAACATACGAAATTTGAGAGTTTTGTCATTGCTCTATCTTACATTTACTTATGTCAAGATAAATTCTATTTGTTTACGAATTTTCTTTCGAAAAACTAAATGAAGAATGTCGCATCCTTTTATTTCTTCTATTGAACAATTCCACTTAGCTAAGCCCAATTTTCTTTGAAAGGTCTATTGAGTAGAAAAAAAAGTTATTTACATTGTCTTTACAAGCTGTGTAAAGACTGTAAAATAAGAAAAAAGAACAAGAAAAAGAATGTATGTGATAACCGTCAATCCTTCGCATCACTCTATCGCATAAATAGTCTTCTAAAGGGTTTCTCATTGTTCTTCGTTTCGAACACATAAAATATAGTTGCTGCTTGATTTAGTGATGACGCATGTTGATAGTCAAGAGTCCACTTGTACGTCTCTTAGTAAATAGAGATTTCTATTCGATTTTCCTTCATAATAGATTATTGAATGATCGACAACAATGCAAAGGTTTTTTTCATTCATACATTTTCAAGTAGATCATTAACTTATACTTACCTTAGTTATAATCAATGATTGGATTTAGTTGCATGTTTGACAGAAAAAAAAATTTCATTTTTCTTTTTTTAATCTAGACCAATCCTAACTATGTTTTGTTGCAAGCAAGAAAAATTCACTGGAGGATAAAATATTGATACTATCGATTAGATTTTCAATAAACAAAAAAGAAAAAGGTCTCCCACATGCCATTCTCATCAAGATTTATACAGAAAAATAATCTATGCCGTATATAATTATGTTTAAAAAGAAGAATGTTTTTAATATAAAGAAGTCAAATAGATCTATTGCTTTTATATGAGAAAAAAGATTAGTTATTTAATTATAAATCAAAATTTAATCAATATTTATATATATGTTTAAATCGTGATAAAAACGATTCAAATCAATTGTTACAATTTAATAAACAGAATAAATCTACTTTGGAAAAATAAATTGTTCTTTTTATAGAAATTATATTAAGAATAAATAAAAATTATTCAATATGACTAAGCCAATTATCATCAATAAGACGATCTGAATAAAAAGATAACATTTATAACAAGATAGATAATTGAG